TCTCTTCGAACAGGAGATTTTTTGCTTCTATCTTCAAGGATCTCCTCCACTGACCTGCCTGCACGAACTCCATCCCCTCCATTTTCCCTCCCATCTCTAGAGCATCTCTTTTCTTAGCCACTCTCCCTTCCTTTCTGGTATCAATACTTTGAACCTTGATTACCCAACATTCTTGTACCACAGGGGAGGAAGGCGAGGATACAGCTATAGCACTCCAAGATTTTACTCTTCTCCTGTCAGCTATGTGAGAGAAAGGTTGGAAGAATGGGGCCCAAAGTCAATTAAGAATTAGTTCTCTGCCTTTTCATTTATTTATTTCTATTTAGTTTTGTCAAGGGAGACTTAAAGCCCTTAGCAGAAAATAACTTATTTAGATCATTTAAGACCTTTTAGAAATAATATTGAGTCTATTTTCCATCATATATAAATTAAATAGCTATTGTATGTCGATTATTTGATTTTCAAGTCAAACTTGATTATATCATCTTTAAATTCTAGTGTACAGGTGGTAAACTCTACTGTTTTAGGTACATATATGATAGATAAGGATTAAAAATAGAGTAAAATCACTTTTCTATTATATTTAGATTTTTAATATATTTATTTTTTATTTTTTGACAGGTTTTTAAAAAACAGAAATAATCTCACAATTTACAATATGATTCATGATTCAACTCAACTTTCTCTACAACTTATGATACGATTTCAGTTTTCAGAACTTTGCACCTAAGTCATCTGACACCCTGGAGGCGTTTGGCAAGTCTTTTTGGTCTTTCAGGCTTTACAGGAAGCCAGAAAGACCTATGCCCCAAAAAGCTCATGAAAGCCCAAAATGGACAAAAATCTAAAAGCTTCAAATGAAGCTTCCTGTCTTTCTGCACCTAAAATCTTTCATTTAACAGCTCTGTATATCATGGTAGACTAGGATACTTACCAAACGGTCTAGATCTTTAAAGACAAGATCCCAAAAGCTCATTACATCTTATGGCAATCTAGGCTGTTGGAAGATCTTCCAAAAAAGACTAGACAAATGGTTTACCAAGCTGCCTCATACATGAAAGTTTTGAGAACTAAGCCCAGCCAAAACATTTGAACTGTTTGTATGGTGATCCAAATCAGAGACAAGATTAGGTGCACACAATGCAATGAACAACAAAGAATTATATTTAATAGGAAACATTTTTTCTTAATGAATCTTTGAACTGTTTGTACTTCATTATTTTTTCTTAATGAATTCATTTTCTGAGTTGTTGATCAAAAAAAAAAAAGGAAACATTAGCCCCAATCGATAAACTGCTGAAACATCCAAAACATCTAGATCAGTGACAAATAGCTTGGTTCCTTAAGAAAAATTAATAAACAAATAACACTAAACATATAAATTTATTTTCTTGTATGCCTTAGGTACACCATACATTTGGAACATTGTATCATTTCAAGTTCAACCATCTGTGCAGGTGGGATTGAATTGTGGTCAGCCTAGTGCCATTTCATATCCTTCCTTTGCTATCTGGTTTTTTTATGGTAAGGTGCCCCCACCAATGCAACACAATCAATGGTTGATGGTTGTTGACTGTCAAAATTAAAAAGCAAAAAAAAAAAAAGAAACAAAAAACAAAAGAAGAAGAAGAAGAACAAAACCTATGAAAGTCGATGTTGATAAACAGAAAACAAATCTTGTGAAACTCTATTCATTGCAAACTCATGCACATGAAGAAAACCTATGAAACTCGATTCATTGCAAACCTATGAAAGTTTATTTTCAAAAAGAAAAAAGAAAAATATCTTTGATCTTAGCTTTATGATTTCAACATTTTAAAATTGTTTTATGTTTATGGATGTTGTGACAAAAATCAAGAAGAAATGAAATAAAGGAGTGCAAAAAAAGAATAACAAAGCAATTTAATGTGGTTGGCATTTTTATGACTATGTCCACGAAGATCCCCCTGATACTTGTGAAACTTACTATGCTCAATTTAATAGAATACAACCCTAACAAATAAACTGGCTTTTACATCATTAAATTAGGGTTCTCAAGGTTTCCTAACTTGAGTACAATTGAGAATATATAAAGCAAATTGAATGCTGCTCCATACCCCTCCCAATGCCTTTTTTGTCAATCGTCACAACTGGCTGGGTATTGCACCTCTGCATGTACACCTTTGCCACTGTTTTGCTTGTAAGACATCCCTTTACTACAAGAGACCTTTCATCAATATCACTTATGTCCTCATGGGTTAGATGGGTCAGTCCACAGAATTTGTTTTTGCAACTTCCCTAAGAAGGGGTCTAAACACAGAGCTTGCTGACATTCTTAAAAACCACATATTAACTATTTTATTTCTCATTTCAAAAACTTAAGTGATTACATGCTAAAATAACAATGTTAGAAAATGTCCATACCATAATGCAAATTTGGAAAAGACATTACAATTAATGTTAACATCTTAACTCAGATTTGAGAGTTTGATACCATAAGAAGAAGCCTTTTTGGCATTTAACAGATTCAATAGTTGGATTTATGGAGAGGAAATGAAGCATAACCACAGTAAACAATAAAAACTTGTGTAAAATAACAGAGACCTTTAGATCTGTTGAAACTCCTAGTGATATAAAGATGAAAGAAAAAAGGAAAAAAAGCTATAACAAGAGTAACATCATACCTCCCACAATGTTTCAGGAGAAATTATATCAGTAGATTCTGAAGAAAATGAGGAAGAACAACGTAATTGCCATCTTCTACAAGCAACAGGAAGCAAACATGATCTATGTAACCTCCCAGAAAATGCAAACTTGGCAGCTTTTGTGGCGTACCAGTCTCCAAAATATGAGGCTTCAGATCTCTGGAAAGTGGAAAAACAAGAGCCACATTGGCCCCATATGAAATTTAATACCCATGCATACCTATTTGGTTTGTACACATTAAAAAAAAAAAAAAAAAAACTTCGTTGTACATGTTGACTGCAGGATTATAGATATTCTCAAAGCAAAATGGCTATGATTATCTAAAACTGTTAAAGAAAGTTCATGAAACATAATATTCATGATCATACCACTATCTTATAGAGGTTGACATCTCAGACACCTGGCATTGCTCTGTGTCAGCTACGAGCTACCAAGGTAACAATACAACACTGAGATAATTTTTTAATCAAAGATACAAAAGTTGGACCATCTAAACTGCCAAGAGACAACCAACTGAGCTTCAGTGTAGCCTACTAAGTACCTCAGAGTGTTGGTTCGGCTGTCTTAATATGTTTATTTATCTCTGTTGGGTCTTTAGTCTTTTGTTATTGGGCCTAATCTTATTTAGTGCTTTTTTATTTGTCTAGGTGTCCCATCACTAATCAGGGGCATTTTAGTCTATTTGTGTAACATTATGTAATACACTTATTAATAATAGAGTAAGGCCGGCTGAGAGATTATTGCCGCCATTCTACTCTCCTTCTTCTTCTTCTTCTTCTTCTCTTCTCCTTCGGCAGCTTCATTCCAGCAAACATGGTATCAGAGCTCTAATCTTTCACCTGGTTACAGCCGCCACTTCATCATCTACTCGTATCCAACTCTCTTTCTTCCTCTTTTCTATCTTGGTTGCTGCAAAGAAACCCTAGGGTTGGTCGTATAACACAGCAGGACCTACATCTAGGGCTTCCCTTGGTTGTAGGGCCCAAGGGGAGTTAGTCCCAGAAGCTGATGCCCTAATAGACTCAGTACAGCAGATTGTAGCCATTCGGCTAAGAGAGATCTGTGTGGAACAGATCTAGGTGGGAGGACTGATCTCGGCAGTCCTAGAACTGTTCGTGGCAGAGATTACAAGCTGCGACAGCAGTGATTAGAGCACAGCAGAAGTCTGGACTGATTACAGTCTGYGACARCAGWAATTAGAGCACAGTGCAGCAGTGTGGTGCTCGTGGTTTCAGCTCTGTTACGGGTTCTCTGGACAGAGTTTGCAATGCAGCAAGTTCCGTAAGTCTGAAACAATTCTCTGTATATTGTGTTTACAGTTTTGATTTTTGCAAGTAGGAGAAGATGTCTTCTATATCCGGGGAAGTGTCTTCTAGAGATGTTAGGACTAGTGGGAGGTCCCCTAATCTGGAGAATCCAAATCTGCACAGCCTGCAGATTACTAATGTGTTGTTGGATGAGTATAACTTCAGAGAATGGTTTATTTCAGCCATGCTC